AAGGCTCACAAAACTCTAATTAATGTGTGCATATGTTGGCCAGCCTCTTGACCAGTTTTATGAGGTTTCACTGGCGGTGCTTGAATCGGCAGGTCAGATGAGGATTAAGGGTCCTAATGAGTCATGTGACCATAAGTGGTCTTGGATGGTGGCTGTGATCAGGAGACCTACCCCTGGTGTTCTCCACCCTGAGGGTCTTTTCTTGCCTGCAGGGAAGGCTGGTCTGGGAGGGCCAAAGAGGACACTGGCAGAAGTTTAAAATGTCCTCCTCTTCTTGACACAGGACATTATTGGAATATGTGTGTATGCATTTTATATATATATATATATATATAATCTTCAATCGTTCAGAAATACAGAAAAAAGTTTTGTCTTAACAGTATAGCATTTAAGAATGGAAATGGGTCTTGGGAGTTCTAACCCCTTCTTACAGATGAGAAGACTCAGACTCAAAGATGCTGCTGGTTCCTGGCCAGCATGTGCCACTAATGAGTGAAACTGGGGGTGGTGGGTTCCTCTGCTCTCCTTAGATAGTTATTTCCAGGGATCTCTCCTTTAAGAAAGATGAAGGTATAAATAAGGAGGAGGTGGTGGTAGGAAAAGTTTTGAAGGAAAAAAAAAATGATGTAGAGGACCAGGAGGGAAGAAAGGTTGCCAGAGAAATGATAATCTGGGGGTGGGTTACTGGAGGCCTATCTTCATATTTCTTGAAAGTCTTTACTGGACTCCAAGACAGCTGTTAGATGCTGATGTTTTCACAACACAGATACTTTGTCATGTGTGTGTGTGTGTCTGTCTGTGTCCGTGTGTCTGTGTTTAAGCCAGTCCAGGAGAAGAAATTCTTCTGTCTTGGGAAAAAAGAGGGAGTGATGTTTCCAAAAGCGAAGCAGCTCTCATCAAAAGCGCTGGTGGACCTGGTGACAACACGGACACGCGATTCTCTTAGAGCCTGGAAGTTGTCAGGAGGGTACCGGGTTCCGGGCGGCTGCACCCCTGGGCCGGAGAGGGGCTGTGGTCGGGCCAGGGGACTAGTAACGATTCGTAGGGAATCCCAGAGGAAGGGAGGCTGGTCGATCACTGCGACAGAGAAAGGCGAGGTGGGGGAGAGGAGAGCGCGGGAGGAGAGACATGGCGCGGTCACGAAACACGAAACCGGGCTGCTGGATTCTACAGGGAAACAGTCCACCCGCACCGCCGCCAGATGCGGTCAGCTGTCCCGCCTGAAGATTCTGTTCGGGCTCCCCTCTGCGTGGCGGAACCAAGAGGTGGCTCTTGGTTCTGCCCACATTCACGCTTTTAAAAATATTCTTTCATTCTCTGGGCGTGGGTCTCGGTGGGGTCTGAGGCTGGAGGCGGTCCGGTCGGATACTGAGAGTCCTTGGGAGCCATGGGCAGTCCTTCCTGAAGCCTCAGAAACAGAACCGGACAAAATGAAAAATCAGCAGAGAAACTAAACAGCGCCCACAAGCCATCCTTCCAGGGCTGGGGAGCAGTGTTCAGGCCTCAGAGCTCAGGTTCGAAATCCGAATAAATGGAGCCCGGTCTTGGATTACGCCCCGGGGACAGCATTTTAATGTCAAGGTAAAATATGCTTGTCATAGTCGCTTGTGGGCCCTGAAGCACCACTAGAATCTCCGTTTAATTAAGGGGGCAGGAGAGGAGAATTACCAGCTAATTAAATCCAAGCCTATCTGTAATTCTCCCTCCGCCGCTGCCGACTTTTAACATGCGAAATTACTTTTTTAACGTGCCTGCCTATGAGTTTTTAAAACACAGGTTAAAACTAAAGGAGAAACTAGGGGACCAGGGGCGGAGGAGAAAGAAGAAAAGAATAAAAAGAAAGAAAGAAGGACGGAGAGAGGCTTCCGGGCCGAGTCAGGGGCAGCGGGCGGCCTCGGCCCGCGCTCTGAGTTGGGCCACGAATGAAGCCGTTTCCTCTCTTTCCAGAAGTTTCGACTTCTCCTCTCCTCCCGGCCAACCCCCTCGTAGCTCGCTGACTTCAGCCCGAGCAGAGCTCAGGAGCTCGGAGCAGGCCCAGCGGCCCAGGCCCGCGCGCCGGCCGGGAGCGGTTCCGGGAGCCGCCGGGGAGGAAGTGAGCTCACGGGGAAGGCAGGCTCGCGGCGCGGCGCCGGCAGGCTTGGGGATACCGGGGAGGAGGCCGGGGCCGTGGGACTCGCCTCGCTCTCGGCCGCGCACTCGCCGCGGGGCGGGACTCGCGAGGCTCGGGCTTCCAGGACAGAATCCGGAGGCTGGGGCCCGGCGAGCTCCGGGTTCCCAGGGTCGCGGCCCCGGCCCAGCTGCCCCACCCTCCCGTCGCGTGAGCGCGCCCCCGGCCCTCCAGCGCGCGCCCGCGTCCACCTCCCCTCCGCTTGCGTCCGCGCCCCTGCCAACGCCGGGTCCTGGAGCTCGGGTTTACCCTCCGAACGTGGAGCTGTTTGCAGGAGCTAACCAGGGCGACCGCGGACACCCCCTCGTGAATACGCTCAGTCCTCGTGCTTCAGAATAGTGAGCTGCGGGTCTGTCTCCAAACCTGTACCGTCTGCCACCGCCCGCGCCGTCACCCCGCGGCTCCACTGCAGTCCTGTCTGGGAAAGGTTGATAGAGCGAGGCTGGCTGTCTCGCCCTGCACGAGGCCCCGAAAACAGAAAACGGGAGCGAGCGGTACGAGCGTTTCCAAACTGACGAGGCGCCTGACGACGCAGGGACACCTGGCCAAAGGGAGCCTTCTGCACCTCGGCCTCCCGGGCCGCGATGCTGCTCCAGCCAGACCGGTCGCGTTGCGTCGGTCCGGAACCCGGCTCGGGGCAGGGGGTGGCGTGGGGAGGGGATGTAGCTCTAGGCTCTGCAGGCAGACCCCAGCCCCGGGCTTTCTCCAGGCCTCGCTGGAGGGCCCTGCCCTCGCCCGAGGAGAACGTGCCTGGGCGCCGACGCCGCGCGGGGGCTCGGCCCGTGGCCTGGCTCCCGGTGAGGCCGGCCCGTGGTTCGGGCGTCAGACAGTTAGGGATTGGGGAGGCCTGGGAGCTGGGAGAGTCCGAAGGCCTCTGTGGGTCGGGCGTAGGGGTTATGGTCAGGCCGTGAGGACGGTCCTTGTCTGCAGGGCACCGTGTGGGAACGCTGGTCGGGTTTATGTGCTGTAGATCTGGAATCGATTGGAGAAATTTGCATCAGTCAAGTAAGACCTCGCCTTTTCACCTCCATCCACCTCCTGCAGAAAGCACCCGCATACCTCCTGGCATCTCTACCCAGTGGATGGATAGGTTGTCTCATAAAATCAGTAAAATCTTGTTTACTAACCTAACCTATGGTTATCTATTTTAAAACCCCAGGTCTTCCTCTGTACATTTAGGGCGGAGGTAGTGAAGCTGTCCTGTGTCCTGGGCGGTCACGAGTGGGTGCTTTACCCGGGTTCCCCGGGGTGCTGTCAGCTTGCCCTCCCCCGCCCCTCCCGACGTCTCGATGCGCACCCTACGCCCTCTCCGGTCCCTCCTCCCTCCCCCCAAGTCCCCTTTGCGGTCCCTGCCCGCAGCAGTGCCTCCTGGCGCCACGTGTGGGGCAGCCGAGGCTCTGGGCCTTGCAGGCCAGGCCGCAGAGGGGCCTCGCTGCCTGCTTAGGAAACTCTCCGTTTTCCCACAGTATTTCACATTCATATTACTTTTCACACCCTGTTAGGCAGTGATAGCACTGGACCTGCTAAATACTTCCATGCACCAAGCCAGCCCTCCAAGGACCACGGCCTTCACCGGCCTTCTCTTGGTGATGGGAACGATGCCGGCTCTCTCAGCATGAGGCCTCGTTGGCTTCCTTCTTCTCTCCTCTCCTGGGATCTATCTCCAGACCCCAGGAAGGCGGTGCCGGTGGTGGCTCCTGGGTAGAGGCGCACAGGTGTGGAGGAGGTCTTAACCCTGGCCTTCAAGCAGGGTGGAGGGAGCGGTTGTGGGAACAAAAAGCCTGCGGGGACTGTCCCGACTTTTGGTAAATTATGTGCGACTAGACGGGCGATTTTTCAATGAACAAGGCCTCGCTCCGGGCCTCCAGCAAGACAAGAAGAAGTAGGACCTGGCCTGCATCGTAAGTCCCGCCTTCCCTTCAGGAGCACCGGACCCAAGGCGTAGCATCTGGGCACTGGGGTAGAGGAGTTAGAGCCAAGCGCCCAGGCAGGAGCGCCTCAGAGCAGAGGAGAAAGCAAGTCAGGCCGGCGTGGAAGCCACAGCTCCCCACACCAAGAGTCGCTAGCTCTTTGGCTGTCGAGTGCACCCTGTTGAGTGGCACTCGCTCCCAGACAGAAGGCTGCAGGGGTCTCAGAGTCCAGGTACAGTGCACTGGACCCTGATTGGCGCGGTGAAGATCATGGTCCCAGCCCTCTCCTGAGCCTGCGTTCCTATAGGGTGCTGCGGAGCCGGGAGGGGCCTGGTTTGCCACCTGAGCAGGACTGAGGCCAGTGGCCCTGGGGCTTCAATCTGAAAAGTTAAGGGAAGGTAAGAGTGATTCTCTGCCTCTCCTCCAGGACCCCACCTCAGTTCTTCCATCAAGGGGGGTAATGAAATCCGCCTGCCCTCTACCTAGGGAGACGGGGTGGGTGGGGTGAGGGGAGGAACTAACTTCTAAGGAGAGCCTGTTATGTGTGGAACGTTTTGCAGGCTGCATATTGTTTAATCTTCACAAACTGTAAGAGGAGTATTTCCAAACCCTGTGTGACTGCAAGGAAGCTGAAGTGCAGAGAGGAGAGACCTGGCCAGAGCCACAAATCTGTGCCTGCAAACAAACTCCAGGTGCCCTCACTACCAGTCTGTGCTTCTAGCAATATCCTGGGAGCTGATGACACACTGAGGGGTCCTGCAGCCTGGCCAGGTCTCCCGGTGACCTTGAGAGGGAGTTGAGCTGCCTTCCATGAGCCTCTAACATGCACTCCTAGAGGGTGATTGAGGCCATGGGAACTTCGGGAGCAGGGACTTGAAGCTTTGGGCACTGTACAAGCTGTAGGGCCTTTATACCTATTCCTCCAAAATACCCATGAGAGCCAAAGTTACCAGACTCCCTTACTCAGCCAGGGGAGCCCAGAGTCCACCACACATGTCCCTCAGTGTCACTTTTCTTGCCCCACCACACCGGCATTGAGAAGATTTAAACTCAAATTCACTGGACTTGTTTCTGCTTTACCACTAATATCTCAACTGAATCCAGAGCTCTCCCCTTCAGCCTGGGGAGGCCTGGGAAGGGATTAACACGGTTCCTAACTTCCAAGGGCCACCTCTGCCCTTTCTCCACTTGTCAGGGCCAGAGGTTAGAGTCTGTCCAGTGAGCAAAAGGGACCACCCACCCCTAAGCTGGGGGGAGGACTTGACCGTGGGGCTCTGGAAACCCACGTGTCAACTTTTGGCAGTGAAACCCCAGGAGCTCCAGCTCCCAAACATTGTTACTTGCGTCCCTCCACCTCCCAGCACTCATTGCCTCGTGGTGTCCTGGACTCCCCTTCCATCTACAGAGAGGCGGTCTGGTGACTGCTTGAGAAAATGCCTAGAGTTTGGATTTGAGGCGTTGTGTGGAAGGTAGGATGAGAGAGCGAGAGAGAAAAGGCAAAGCCAGAAGGCAAGGGAGGAGGGTGTGCAGGCCTGTGGCAGGAGGCAACTGTGGATTGGGAGTTGCTTAGGGAAGCATTTCTTTTTGTTTCCTCTTCTCCGACAAAGACAGTCCCAGCCCAGATCCCAGATCCTCTCCATCCTCTAGTTACTTTCTCCTTTCCCTCTTTCTTTACTCTCCTGATGCTGAGCCTGGGCAGGAAGAATCATGGAGCAGGAACCCACATCCTTCTCCTCAGGGCAGTCTGCTGCACACAGTAGCGACTCCAGGTGCACACAGGACAAATTGTTTTAAAGAGTCCCTGCAGCCATACTCATCCCTGTTGAGCCCTCTCTTCCCTTTGGGCACGGTGGGGAAGTTCTGGGGCAGTTCCTGAACTTCTGGTTAATCTAAGAGCTCTGGACCCTCATTTCCCCTGGAGCAGTGTTCCAAGCTTAGAGGCAGCCAAATGAGTGGTCCTTATTTTTCAACCCTGCAGGGTATATTAATTCATTTTACAGTCATGGGGGGAGTGGGAGAGAGGGAGTGACTATGATGATTTCCTAAACGCCAATTAGTAAGTAACCCCTCTATCCCACCATTGCGTTTAATAAACAGTGATTGATGATCTGACTCTGGTGACAAACAAGGCTGATAGACAAGTACAAACCAAGTTAGAAAGCCGCAGTGCGCTGGTGTATTTCTCCTCTATCATCCTCTGGTATAGTTTCTGCCCCTACTTGTGGCTGGTGGGCCACACTCAACTTTAGGAACTCCAAGTCCAAGAGGCTGAGCAGAGACTGAGACTAGGTTGCCAATTTGAGTTGAACTTGATCTTCCCGCCTCCAAGCAGGATGCCGCGACCCGGAAGTGATATCTCCTCGCCTGTCAGGGATTCTGGCAGTCTGGAAACTCTAAAAATCAAGAAATTCAAGAAGGAGATGAAAAGAACCAGAAACTGTAGTAAGAGAGGGAAAGCAAAAGGAAAACAATTGTGCACAAAAATCGAAGGGCTTTCGGAATTCTGCCTGCGTTTCCAACAACCCGAGTTAAAGCTTGTTTGTCTCCACTTCGCTGCGTTTCTCCACGCGGTTTCTAGCGCGCAGTTCCCTTGCTCAGTATCTCTGGGGTTCTTTGCGTGGGAAGGGCGCTTTCCAGCGCGGCTGGCCTCCTGGAGGGCTCTGCCCACGGGCGGTGGTAGGAAAGCTGGGGTCGCGGCCTGGTGGTGGGGGGAAGCGCCGGGGGGGGGGGGGGGTGCGGGCAGGTCCGGGCGAGGCCCTCACCGACCAGGTACAGGAGGGGTGCCCGCGCCGGCCGTCCCAGGGGAGCCTCTGGGCTGCTCACCGTTCCGGACAGCTGGGGCCAGAGTGATCTTATTACAGTTATTCATGGTCAGGATGATTTCTTAAGCCAAGACCAAAAATAAATGGCTCCAAGCGAGCACGCCAGTGCAGCTGCGCTCTGCGCGGTGGCTGTGAGTGGGGCTGGCACCAGCGACAACGTCCCCAGCTGCTGCTTCGGTATCACTCCGTGCCGGCGGAGAGGCACACGACGGCGGCGGGCTGTGAGCTGCTGAGTGTGCAGTGGTGCGGGGCTGGAAGGCAGTTACGTGAAACAATTCGACCACACCGTGCTTATGGTCGGCGGAAATAGAAGACATCCCTGGCATACTTAAGAAGACTTACTACCCCCCCCCCCACTTCCTCCAAGAGGCAGGTTTAAAGTAAATCTCTCCTTTGCTAAGGATGACACCGCCCCCCGCCCCCCAAAGCATTCAAGAGTTCGGACAGATCTGCGACTCTTGTAGAATCAGGAATGTAGCGACGATCCAGATTGAGCCCCTTGCCAGAGGCTGAGTGGCAAATGCCTTAATGCATTTCGGGGCCAGGTGCACCTGGGCTGGATCCTGGCTTCTGGACTTACTGGCTTTATGATCTTGAGCCAGCGTCTTGGCCTCGCCGGGGTTGTTTTCGCGTTTGAAAAATGGGGACATATGCCCAATAAGGGTTTGAAAGTTCCTACCTCCTAGCCCTGGTGATCCTCATCGCTGCGTATTTATTCATCTTCGGGGAAATCACCGCACTTTCTTCCTAGAAACGCGGGAAACGTGACGGAACTGCCATCCCCTCTTCCCACCGCGAGGTGTGGCTTCCTAAGCAACGGCCTCCCTCCCCCGACCCGCGACTCTGGGGTCTCCAGGTCCTTCCCTTGGGTCTCACAAGCGCCTTGCCCCGTAATTTACATTCTCCGACCGGCGGGCGAGGTCTGATCCTTGCTTTCTTGCGACTGCTCTCCAGCCTGTTCTATAACCCTCTCGCTGCACGTCTGGAAAGCCCACATTAGAACGCCCCGGAGGATGATCCCTCCAAGCTGGCCGGAACCTGCGCAAAAACCCGGACTCGCGATGCCCGTGGAGCAAGAGCTCCTATCCACCTGCCGGGCGGCCCAGGACCCACGTGCGTGACTAGGGGGCCTGGGAGTGGGAACGATGCGAGGGCCAGCTGGCCGCAGGGACCAAGAGGCGACAACTGCACTGGCCCTGGAAGAACCCAGGGATTTGGGCCGTAGGGAGCCGCGTGGGCCTGGGCTCCTCAGCCCCTCCTCCGCCTTCACCCACGCAGAGAAGGGTTCAGGATTGGCGGGTGCTGCGCCCCGCTAACTGAGCGCTGCTTCCCAGGGAATCCTGCATTGCGGGCCAGGATCCCTTTAAAATTTTTTCACTAAGGAGAGTTAAACACCTTGCATATATTTCCATACTGGTCACGCCCTAATTATGGAAAATCGCGTTCCTCCTGCTGATGGGGCAGGAGGGTGCCGGGGCAGTGGAAGACTCTTGGAACTATACATAAATAGAAAAAAAAAATATTCAGTTTGGACCGTTTGTGGAGTGTCCGGAACCGACAGGTTGGCGGCTGGAAACGGGGGCTTCTATGTCACCTTGCAGTTGAGAGCTGGGTAGGCAACAGGTGAGTGAGATTGGGGCTGCCCCTGTAGGAGGTCAGGACTCCTTCCTGGGCTCCTGGTATTTGGCCAGCACCACCATTCAACTGGGACCCAGTAAAATCTCTTAAGCTTGCAGACTTGGAAAGGGAGGAAGGTAGCCAGGCAACGGAATTGCGGAAACATCCTCTGGGTCACGTGAACTTTACTGCAGATCAGGAAGTTATCTAACAGCTGCCAAAAATCTTCTGACTCCAGAGCTCCAAATGTTGACTGTTTCTCACACCTCACCACCGGAGTCTGCTGCCTTGGGGGTTATTCACATTTCCTATTCCCTTTCTGCTTCAATCTACCCCCACCTGCCTGGTTGCATTTGGCGATGATTTCCTTTTGTCCATTCCCGATACCATGTGGTTCCCATACTTACCTGGGCTGGCTCTTTCCCCACCCACCCTCCGCAGGGGGAATTCCAAATCTCCTGAGGAGGGACAGCCGGGTTGAGAAAGGGTCAGAAAAAGGAAGCCGAGCCTAAGGCCAGGCGTGCAATATTATATTCTTCTCCGGGTGACTTTGAGTCATTCCAGAAAAAAAGTGCAACAAAATAAGTAATCTTAATGGGCCCCCTCTCTTTCTTCCACTAACGCGCTAACTCCCAAGTCCTGAGCCAGGTTCACGGGCAGGAACCTGGCCTTCTGTGGCCTGGTATCCCCAGAAGGGGCTGGTCAAGATCTGAGCACACAGTAGGCCCTGAGACAACTGATCCTGGTTGACAGACGGATGCTCTGAAGGAAAAGGAGCAATTGTTTGAGAGCAACTGTAAGTAAAGGCGCCAGGTGTGTCCAGTTAATTTCAGGCTCACAAAGGAGATCACCTCAGGAGGATCTACTCCCACTTTCAACACATCGACCAAACACGAGGGAGCCCGCTTCAGCTGACCCATTGAACGGACAGGGCATCATTATGACTTCTGCCGACAGTGTTCATCTCCTGACCCTCGAGGCTCGAGGTGAGCTGAGCCCGCCCGACCGAATTCACACTCAGACCAGCCTCACTCCAGACAACCAGGAGCAGACACCTTCCCGGAGGCGAGAGTGCAGAAAAGCCGTGTCTTCTGCGCCCAGTGAATTTACGCTAGCTAATGGGGCGCCCGGGCCGTGCCCGAGTACTCGCTACCACGGGTGGGGGCGGGGATGCTGAGATCGCGCCCTGATCCCCCGCTTCCTGGATTCCGCTTCTCTGGGCGGGCGGAGAGCAGACGCTGACTTGCTTGAGCACTGGAGCTTGATCGTGACTAACTGGAAGGGTCCTGCTGTCCCCCACCCGGACGTTACTGTCGGCTAAAGTTGTTACAGCTCTTTTTCGGCGCTAACCTTCCCTTACGCATTTGTAGCTACCCACAGACGCCGACTCCGTCCGCGTGGTGCGCACCCCGGAAGAGCTCGTGGAGACCCGGAAGCGGCGGGAGCTCCGACGTCGCTGCTCTCGCGGGCTAGCCCTTCCCGCCCCGCCCACTTGCGAGGCGCCGGGGTTGTCGAAGCCTCGCGTCGCGCGAGACCTGCGACCGCGTCCGCGCCGCCCTCCCGCCCGGCAGCGGGGGCTTTCCCGCTTCTGGGTGCCGGCCGTTGGCGGCTGTTGGCGGCCGTTACCTCCCCGTTCCCGGGAGGAGCCCGAGCGGATTTAGAGTCCTCGGAAGTCCGCCGTGCCGTCCGGCCACGGGTAGAGGGAGGCAAAGGGAAGGAGGACTTGACAGTGGGCCCGTGGGGGGCCATTCGGTAAACTCCAAAGAGCCGAGGGTCCTGAGGTAACTCCTCATAACCGCCGTGGGCAGGACGCTTCGGGGCCAGCCGGGCCGGTGTCCGCGACGGGAGAGCGCGGGGCCGCGGGCGTCGGGACAGCACCTCGGTCCACGTGGCCGGCCTACTGGGGGCCCGCACCCTGGCCTCGCTGTTTTCCTGTCTGTGGGGCTCAGGCGCGGTTGGAGAAAGAATAATGTCTCTACTTTCAGGAAAAACATCAAAGACCGGAGCTGCGCAATATGGAGCGCACATGGCGGTCTCCGAATGCCGGACCTGCCAAAACATGTTTCGCAGGATTTTCTTCCTTACCTTTTTGTTCATCCCCGCTCCGCCCTCACCCCAGGCTTTTCTTGTTTTCTCCCCCAGTGGGAGGGAGCCACGGGCTCGCGAGGAGGCTGCGAGGCGATCCACGACCTTTCGGGATGTGATGCTCACCCGGGAAGGGGCTGGGGGACCGCAGAGCCGTGACTCGCCCGGGACCCAGAGCAGAAGCGCCAGGTCGCTTCTGGCATTTTACCTGCAAAAGCAGGTAAGTTTCCTGCTGGTAAGCGAGCCCTTAATGTCACGTTACACCAGCTGAGTCCTCAGGCCTCAGCGCCTTGCTCTCCTTAGGTCAGGGCTCTTCAATAGTTAATGAATATTGAATTGAAGGGAAGAAAAGCCTGCAAACCTGGCTTCAGTTTACTTTTTACTTCAGTCTAAACAAGATTTAGGTGCAAAGCTTCTCTTCCTCATTAACAGCTATGTTAAAATCATTATTACTGCTAAACAGTAGGAGACCGGTATCGCAGTTCTTTAAATAACCTAGCAGAGAGAGGCAAGGGACAGTTGGCTCAAAGTTCAGGCGGTTTGCTTCAGGAATTTATTTCTCAAGGTGAAATCTCAGAATGTGAGGGGTCATTAAAATGATCTAGGTTCAACTTCTGAACTTCCTGGAAGGTGAGCTGGGCCCTAACTAGGTAGTTACTAGCCCAGGGCATAGGCTAGGATGGAGCTGGGGAAGTGCTCTCTCTCCCAGGCTGATGCCTAAGAGCTCACTGCCCCTCACAGCCCTCAGTGGAAGGACAAGCTGGATCATTTCGTCTCTTCTCGCCACTTCTGTTAAATGGATTGCTGTCTCCTCTGAAAAATGATCTCAGGCTATTCTCCTTCAGCACATTTACACATAGGGTTAGTATTAAAGGTAGGAGTAAATTCTTGGGGGCTCCCATTTAACAAAAGATCCATGCCGTCGCCAGAACATGCAGCTTTTTCTAATGCGCTACTGATGATAGTGGGGGAAGGAAACACCGCCGCACATGGAGCTGGTTAAACATGAATCTCATCAAATCTTCCAGTGTCTGGTGACTTATGTGGCTTATATACCCAGACCGGTGGGCAACTTACCTGACAAGCAGTTAGAAAATCTGGATTTTACACCTGGCTTTGCCATCAACCTGCTGCATGTCCCGACCAGTCAATTTCTGTGGATTTATTTCTCTCTCTATATACACGTTTTTAATTTTTATTATATGTGTGTATTATATATTTGTGTGTATGCATACACATGTACTTATGTTATTAATTTTTAATCCTGGTAATCTATTGGTTCACAAACCCAATTTCTGTTTTTATATTCTCTGATGCTGTTGTATGTATCAACATACAGTGAGTCCCTTACCCCTACCAGATGAAGAAGCAACAGAGCCAACACCGACACCCTGCTTATTCCTGTATTAAGTTAATAAGTTAATCAATGAATGTTAAACCTGCATAGTTCTTTAGAGCTGCTTCTGCCCCTTCTTCTTGCAGATGAGCACACGAGCCCAGAGAGCTGATTTCCCCCGGTCGCACAGCTAGAGAGCCCAGGATGGCTTCTTGCTCAGTGCCATACTCTGTGAAAATTATTGGAGAGATGGGCCAGGTGAGCATGGGTCAAGTCTCTAGGATATTTCCTTCTACCACCCAGCCATCCACATTCCTCACCCCACTTCTCATTCAGAACAGCAATACCCAGACCAGAACATAATAGTCTTGGATTCAGGAGTACAAATTTAAGGCAAAACTCGAAGTCAGCACCGTGTCACTTGTGCTACGCTTCTTTAAACATTCCTGCTCTATTGTGTGGACTGTGAGCCCACAAGGAGCTTTGGGCCAAGGTTACAGGTCCTCTAATGAGGATACAGCCACAAGTCTCATATGTCTTTAGAGTCTCTTTAGAGGTAGAAATCCATGATCAAACTTAATAAAGAGGCAAAACAATAATTAACAAATTTATAAAGTAAAGCCAGTGTTCAGACTAATATTTCACTGATCCTTTTCCCTCACACAACACACTCCCAAATTATCAACATTGGGTGCAGGTGGAAGAGCTAACAAAGCAATTATCCAGCATTAATAGTAAGATGGTAAAGCTGCTCTTGCTTGCTTTGGGGAAGCACCTTCTTGATGTGAGATAAGGATGTGGGGAACTGTCTGCCATGTTGGATGTTAAGTGTGGGTGCTTTCTCCTGTCTTGGTCGACCTTGATGAGCCTGTTGATGCTGCCTGGCTGGAATCCAGAGTGTTTCAGAGGAACAGTTGTAATGTGTTTCCCATGGGTGTGTAGCGCAACAGGCAGTTTCTCTGCACTGAAGCAGCCTCTTCCTCTCTCACCTGCAGGCTGGGGGACCTTGACAACTTGGAGGCTAAAAGAACCCCACATAGCACCAGGGCTGAGGGGGTCTCCCTCAGCAGGGAGCTTAGGCCTGTGGCAATGGGCCACCCAGCCCAGACAGCCACTCCAAGCTGTTGCCCTAGGTAGGACCGGAGCAAGGATACCCACCTTCCACCTTTGAATCTGGGCGATTATGTAAGGTGTTCGTTGCAACTCTAGCTGTGCAATAGAGTACAAAGAGCTCTCTGCCCATTCCTCCTAAACCTCATCCTCAGGGTCCTGTTCTGGACCATTTCTCTTCCTATATGAAAACCTCTCCCTGGGCTATAGTCAATCCAGATACTTCCTGAGATGGTTATAAGGATTAAATGAGAAAATCTACTAAACGTGCTTTTCACAGTGCTACGTATGTAGTAAGTACTAGATGCATGTTAGCAATGATTATCGTTATTACCGTTATTGTTTTTATTAGCCATTCTATGGTTTCACGTGACGTTGATGGCATATTTTTCTACAATTCAGACCTCTTCTAGGAGTGCTAGACCCAAATATCCCACCCCTTGCTGGAGGACATTTTCACGTCCTAAGTAGATGTACTTAGATTTTGAAAACTCGTCACGCTCAGAACGGAATGTGTTTTTAGTCCCTGTTGCACACTCATAGTCTGTTCTCCTAGGCTCTATGAATGGCACCACCATCAGTCAGGAGCTAGGCCGTAACCTGGCAACTCCCCCCAGGTCCTCCTATTATCTTTCAAATCCACCCTCTCTACCTCCTGCCTCAGTGATGACAGGTACTGAGTTTGCGTCATTCCATTATTGCTCCTACTGCCAGTGTGCTCTCCAGTCTGTGCTCCCAGCAGCCGGTGTCATCTTTATATAATGCAGTTTGATCATGTCATGCCCCTACTCTAAATCTTTCATTCACTCTGCATAGACTTCAGGAAAACCCAAATGCGAGCATGTGATGCTCCTCACATAACATCTCCGTTCTCACCACTTTCCCTTCACACACGCTGAGCCCTGGCTCTGCTGAACTGTGCTGAAGAGCCCAGTTTCTTTTGCCTTCGTGTCTCTGCACGTGTTGTCCCTCTGCCTGCTGCACACCTTCCTCCTCATCCATAAGGTAGAAGGATGTCATTCTCCTTGTCCTTCAAGATTCCACCTGGGTGTCTGCTCTTTTTGGGCTCAGGCTGACTACAGTTTATATTCTACAGGCGTGTCATTTCTCTTTTCCACTAGGTGTGAGTTCCCGAAGGCAGTAGAATAGGTCTTTAATCTTTGTGGCCACAATGCTTTACTGGCATACAGTGGGTGTCCATCACGTGTTTGCTGAATATGAGAATGGCCCAGAATTAGAATGGATATCTTTGGTATTATAGCTTCTCATCATCAAGATTTGGGGCAAGTTATTTTTTTCTGAACTGCAGTTTTTTCACCTGTAAAGTGGGGATTAATGACGCCCCCTAATGTTGTGAGGGTTAAATGAAAAGTGAATGGCAAAGTCTCCAGTAAACTGTGTAGCACCGTACCTGAGTCATTATTATAATAAATGCAAACCCACATTTCCCGTGCATGTACACATTTCCATTCACGCACGTAATGTGTGCCTGTTACATGCATCCATGTGTCTGTTGGTGCACCTTCATGGTTACATGGAAAAGCAGCTTCCAAACGTACCTTTCTCTAGATCCTCCCCCCTTTAAAAGGCCAGCTGAAATAGGTGGATAGGTAATTACTTTAGATAACTAGTTCAGGTTAGTAGTAGTGTCCTCCATTGTCCTTCTGTGAGTTCCTCACATCCATGCACACAAACAGTGCAGATTTATAGAGCTCTGAATGGGTGTTAGAGTCCATTACCATTTTTATTACGACTGTGATTGTACTTTTCTACTAAAGCTGTAACGTCGAAAGCACCTCCCGGTGGGCTTTAGTTTTATTTTCACAAAGGTCACTTGTAGCAGTTACTGAACATGTGGTTTTCCCCATTTTGCATGTGAACAAACCCAGGCACAGGGGGTTCC